TAAAATTACAGATTTTAAAAGAATTTCCAATCGGTAGCTGTTTTCGAGTTACTTTCATTATTCCCGTTTGAAAATGCAGCTTCCGTTTGAGAATGAACTCATCCTAAACTGATCTCATATCCTCCGAGAACGTATCGCTGCAACGTATCGCTCACGGCGTGAAGCGCGATTTTTCATGACGCGCGTTAATGCAGCATTCGTAGAATTAATGAAGACAAGCGAGACAAGCGCTGATAATTCACGCGCATCGAACATCGTCGTAGAAATTGTGACGAGACGAGAAGAAAGGATCCTCGTGCAAAGGGGCGATATCGTCATCGAGTGTTCTCTCTTTTCTTTTTTTTTTTTTTTTTATTTCGATGAATAGAATTGGCCACATGAGGAACGATGCCGCTGACGTAAGACATACTCCGAAAAGGACCACGCGTTCAATTGGTCGAACATTAAAGATTGTCATCGTGATTCGGTCTTACGTAAGTTCGTTTCGTGCGGACGATTCGAAGCGCGCGCGCGCGCGCGCGCGTGGTGATTCCGCCACCGTTCCGTCGCGGTTAATTCCGTTCAGAATCTCTCGCGGGTCCACGAGAATCCTGTGCACGGTCAACGATTAAGGTTATCGCATTAACGGGAAACACTAGCAGGAAACGCCATCGCTGCGTATCTCCGTTACACCCGGTAGATAAGCTGATCCGTTGATAAACCGCCTGCCGAACTCGTCGTTCGTGGCGATATCGCGCTCGCGCTTCACGTTTAATTATTTATTCTTTTCCATTTTTACCGTCGTCACACACAATTAGGACACGGGGAGAAGAGCACGTTTGTTTCCAAATCCACGCTGGCTCGCACAAATTGGACGAATCCTCGCAGAATTTGTCGTCTTTCGCGTTGACAATATTTCGCGAGCAGTACGAGAGACGTATGTACTTGAATTTTATTATAGTCTCTCTCATTCAGCTCGAGCAATTATTCTTGTTTTACTAATATTTAATGAGGCCTTTACATAACATTACATAACGCGATACCAAAAAATATTTCGGCAATTATTACAAACTTTTTACGCTCTTCCGACTTTACTTCAATTTCATCTATCTACTAAATCGTTTATGTTGGTCCATCTGGTTTATCACAATTAATTGTCGCGCAATTAACGATATCTAACGAGAAGCAATTTGGATCGGTCAAGTGAGCGAATTTTCAGAGGTGTTTCTCGCGCCGGACGTTTCTTGGACCTGACGCTGGGCTCGGCCTTCCCAGCGCGATTCCCGATTCCACGGGAGGCGAATTCTCAACCACGGCGAAAGCCGGATCGATGAACGAACCGAAATTCCTGATTTTACGACAACAACGTCGTAACCCCTCGCACGTCACACAGCAGAGTTACCGCGATATCACTTGGGGCGTTAGCTGGATAAGCCGCTAACCCCATCCACCTGTTGCCCCTTCTTACACGTTCCCGCTTTCGGTCTCGCGTTCGTCTTCATTCCTCGCGTGGAAACCGAGGATCCTCTCTGTCCTCTTCCAATTCTTGCGTGAACCCTCGGGGCCCCTCGTTGCTCCCGCTCGTCTCTCTTCGCCATCAATGATGCCGGCTGGCCCTTATCTCTCTTTCTCGCTCACTTCGGCACCTTCAGGCATCCCGCTTCTCCGCTCCCTCCTTCACCACTTCCTTCCTCTTCTTCATCGTCTTCTTCTCGCTTACTCCCGTTCCAGGCCCGGGTCTTCAGCGGTCTGACGTGTTTTTTGCGAGTGCATACCTCGAAGAGCTCCCGAAACAGTAGCTGGTACCTCGGTACAGTCCGGGCAAGCGAAAAAATCATCCGGTCGATCCCTTGCAACCGATCGTTAGATCGATGAGAGAAGCGTCATGTACAAAGATATTAAAACCTAGATGGAAGAAGAAATTCTTCTTTTTCTTTCGGTTTCACTTCAATGATTACGTATATATTTCTATCTATGTGTTAATATTTCCTACGAGTAAAGATGCGCGAGTAAAAGATTCGTTATTCAGAAAAAAAATAAGAAAGATTGAAGTTTAATCGCGACTTGATAGAGTTAATTTACATAAATATAAAAAGACGATAAAGTTTTGTGCAATCTGTTCGGTTAAGAACGTCGGGATGATCATTTTCGAGGAGCAATTAATACGACGCTCATCGTCGATTTTTCAAGACTGCCTTGTGCGACGCGCGCGTGAGTGCCGGCTGATTAAATTTCATAATTTTGTAATTAAATAAGGAGACTAAATACTCGCGAAAATTGCTGATTGCGAGCGAACACGAACGCGGCAGGAAGTCGCGAAGGATCATGGAAGATTATACGCCGCCTCTCGTATCTCGGCTCGTTCTACCGCTTGACGCTCCGTATTCCACGGAGGCGTCATCGACGATCCAGTTTCCAGACGAAAATCATCGCTCCGCGGTGCATTTCGCACATCGGTGATGGCGACGGCGACGGCGGCGGCGGCGGCAGCGGCAGCGGTTGCGGTGGTGTAGGATTGTCGCATTCTGGGCCCAGTTGACCCCAGTTGACACCGTGGACGGCTTAGCCGTTAGTGTTAAGTTCAGTTCACTCATACATAAATCTAAGTCCGCGCTTATGCCTTAGCCTGGTCGCCGCTCGGAATTGAGCACGTGCTCAGATTTCATCGTCGACGACGCTTAGATCATCCGGCTCGCTCGGCCCGACCGAAACGTCGTAGATTTGACCGCGTTTAGGCGACGCTCCCACCGTGAATTGCCGCCGAAGGCTTTTTTAATCGTTAGATTGCCTCCAATCGTGCATAGTTAATTCGCGCGCGAGTTATCTCTTTTTTTCTTTTTAGAAGCAGATTCTAGGCGATCCTTTATTGCGCGCGGGCGCATTTTGGCAAGGATACAATATTACATTTAATTCGTGCAATATATATTATCATTATAATATATTAAAAATTTATTGATAAAATTCTCAGCTTGTGAAAATTAAGATGATACGGACAAATAACATGATTTATGGATACACAACGATGATTTATGATAATACTTTTTATATTTTAAAGATTAATAGGAGCTACGTTTTGCTGTAGAAATTTTTATAATAGGTAATCGTACCCGTAAAAAAGTCATGCGACCGTTAGAAGCATGATGTGCCAGGGAATTTTGTCTTCAGAGATTAAGGACAGCAAAGGATTTGTATTACCCCGCGGCGATTACCGCACTCTCGCTGGATTATACACAAACGAGCGATGAAATAAACATCACAATAATTTACATAACGTGCTCTTGTACGCAGAAAATATTTTCGCTGTGAAACTTTGCCAGGAACAATACGGGAGCTGGGGAAGAACTTGTTGCCTGAGTAATAAGCGTAAAAATGTACATATCATGCTTCCCGGTATTAAACTTTCTTTCGCGTCCTCTTGATACGTAAAAAGATTTTTATATTTTGCAATGTAGAGCTTATCGAATTTCTCTGTATAATATTCTCATCTTCTTTTAAATGAGATCACTTTTCCCCATTTCTCCTCGTTGACAAAATAAATATACCGCATTTCGATAATGTATACGACAATAATCGTACATAGACATTATCATCCGTTATTGCATTGACATTGTATTTATTGTTCAAAAAAATAAATTTTTTTAAAGTGAATTTCCTCTGGTGATTGCAGAGCCAAGCGTTGGCGTTGACGCACAAAGCCTCGCCACCATCGAGACCGAGCAGCGTGTCCTCGTTACCGAGGAGTCCTCAGTCTCATCAGTCCCAGCAGTCTCAGCCGCAGAACGCACCTCAGCACCCATCGGTACATCCGTTGCAATCGCAAACACCTCTCGGTACACCCCAGACACCGTTCTCCGCGCACAACCAGCACCCAAAGCAAGAAATCAACGCCAGTCCCAAGCAGGAAGGCTTCGATCTCAGCAAATCTGCTTCCAGTACAGGTAAATATTTCTTTCCCATTTATATTTCATTGTCCGTTTAATAATGATAAATCATGATTTTTTAAAAATACTAAGCATGTTACTATAGCAATTATTATATATTTTTTATTTTGACAAAGTTTGATGATTTCATTCAACATTATACAATTGACAGTTGATACTATTTATTTTTATGTTATAAATATATTTTAAATAATTTTGATGAATTTTTTAATTTAAGAATATCGCAAAATAATATAATAATGAAGAAGTTCTCTACGGTTATTTGAACGTATTTGAACTCTTGTATTTCGTATCGTCCCGTTCCTTACCGTCTTGTCCCTACGCGAGTGCATCTGTACACACCCCATTACCTTGGGTTGCATCTCGGATGTGGTGGCTTGTGCAGGGTGCTTTCCCGCGATCGTAAATCGTCGATTTGCCGGGCGAATTAAGTCACCTTTTACGAAAGATCGGGTCGTGCGAAAACAGCTTTAACGTCTTTACAACGCGTAACTCGGTTGGGATAACTCGTGTGACGGCGATGAGGAAAACACGGTAACGATGCACCTATGTCACGTCCATTAATGCATTCTATACAAACGGAAGCGGCGTTAATCGCCGTCACCGTCTCACGTCCGGCGAAGGCCGATATAGCTCTTGTGTAATAAATAAGAGAGCAAACGGGGAAACGATAAGTTTTAAGTTTGAATCATTTCATGCTCTCGATTTTATTTTATTTATTTTTTTACTCCAAAATTATGTAATATTGTTTGTCCAACTTAATAATATTCATTTAAAAAAGGGATAACATTTAATATAACTCTACTTATGGTAGAAATAATATTATAAGTAATTTATAGATAATGCTAGTGTTAGAATGCTATCATTATTTATTTATCTATTGCGAAAAATTGTTGTTCAATAATATTGCAAATAATACAAAGAGTCTGCTCGAAATGCTCCACTTTTATTCGAGGCAATCCAGAAACTCAGTTGCCATGTCGCGTCATAAAGTCCGCTTCCGTTGAGAATGACGAAGACGTACGTACTCGATGGAGGTCGCGCGAGAGGGATCGTTAAAGCTCGTAAACGAGATAGACTATCGGCGGAATTTCCTTGATCCTCGATAATGCGGTGGAAACAATTTACACGCGTCCGTTTGCAATGAGAATTAAACGCTGTATAAACGGAGCCCGTGATACTTAACATTCTAATTTTATACGACCCCAAAATTCGTAAATGGCAACATTTAAAGAAAGAATTAAATATTATAAGCATAGCGAACATATATTTACGGCACGTTTATTGCTGAATGAAACATCCGATAGCAAATTAATTAAACATATTTTCTTGAATTTAAATTATTATTGAATTATCTTATCTCCAAGTATTGTAATAGAAACATATATATATGTGTGTCTGTAAATCTACTCAATTTTATTTAACGATCGATAATAATATAACTTACTACTTTAAAAATATTTTTTTTTAATTTAGATCTTTTTGTTTTAAAAATAGAATATTAACATACTAAAAAAAAAAAGGTTGCTGCAACAAATTAGATGGCATAGCATTTTTAATTGGTCGCAACAATCAATTTTTGATTGCGTTAGCCTATCTGCAATGTATCAGTATAAGATTCCGATAGCAACTAAAAATTGGCTGCTGCAGCCAATTAAAAATACTACGCCATATTTTATCACCTAATTTGCTGCACAGCAGCCAATCTTTTTTTCAGTGCAATATCTAGTATTTTTTTACGTATGTATTATAGCATTTTCCGCAAAAAATAGACAAAGTTGCTACAGAGTAGAGAACGTTAATCGCAGTTTGCATACAAAATCAAAGAAGTGACTATAATTAAATATTTGTCTAATTTATAAAACTTTCCATTAAATATATATATTTATACATTTCTCTATTTTTATCATTTTTTTTACTTGATTCTTTCACGCAATAAAAATCACTACGAAAAAAGATCCAAGAAAGGAAGGGAAGAAATTGTATCGTATATATCATATTAAGTTGTCAAATTATATCCTACAATTTTTTTCTCAGGCTAACTTTCGGAGGGAGGAATCGGTGTTCTTAAGAGAGTAGATATTCTGTACTTCGGCATTTCGAAGGCGTGCAGGAATGCAGGGAGCTAGAGTACATATTTGCTTTTCCAGCCCCGACCTAGACGAGGAGAAAAGGGTGGTACGAGATGCGATGGGGGATGCGGGTGGACAGAAGCACGCACTTCCTAAATCTACGGATCTCGAAGATCCTCCTTAAATCTCCGTGCGTCACACTTAATCTTCCCCCTCCCTCCCTCTCAGCTCCTTTTCTACATTTCTTATCTCCACCTTTCCTCAGTCGAGACTTTTTTTTTTATTTTTCAAATTTCTAAAAGTACGACCTACTTATTTCCAACAATCGTGCAATAAGCGACAGTATAAAATATTTAATATAATATTTATTATTGCATAATGCAATAACATTAAATTTTGAAAACTGGCTCGCACAAATAGATTGTATAATTTTTAATAATTACAATAATGTTAGTTTCTCAATTTCATAAAAATTATTTGTACAAGAAATTAGAAATAAATACATCCAAAAATAAGAGAGCTGGCATCGTTTTTTTATTTTTTTTTTATCGAGAAGTGATTTCGCGTCGGCATACATCAAAGATGAGCTGGAAAGATGAGATCGTTTGTTCCCTTTTAGTCCGCGAGCCGTAAGCGTCAGCTCGGAATTAGGATAATCGTCCGCGTGTGTTCCGTACGGATTTACCTGGACGTCTATATGCGCGCATCCGTGTGCACGAACGGTGGGATGAACTGCGACGAGGTGCAGTCAGAGGGGAGGATATTGTGACCCTTACGAACTAATCCGGATTAAATTCAAATCCCTAGCTATGCGGCTAGGCGACCTGCGAACATTCACCATGGCGTCTTGCGCCATACGATCGGGCTCGTTACGCCATTTAACCCTACGCGATACTCCCTCCCAAGAGACGAGGCATCTTTTGTGACGAGTTGCCTTTGAATTCTCTATTTACGTTCTCAGTCAGTGGACAGAACGATCCGCAGCTCCCGGAGCATAAAAGTTTTGATTTAGTAATCCCCAAACTTGCGATGCAAAACCCGATCAGAAAATATATTCTGTTGGGAAAGACTTACAATGAGTATTTCACGTACAAACTCAAAAAACGATCGGAGGCTTTGTATAAATTCAGCGCGCAGTTTAATTCAAATGTAACTACCCTTCGCTTTGCGCTTGTAAAAAAAAAAAACAGTGTAGTTTTAATTTTCGGAAGTCGTTCTATTATTTATATTATAAATAACCGGGATATCGCGAAGTATAAATAATAATGTCATAATGAATGAGATAATGTTTAACGAATTCATGTATTTTTCACAGCATGAATTGAGTTTATAAATTACGGAGAATATTTTAACACGAAGGCGCATTTAATTACAAAAGCTTAGAAATATATTTTGTTTGTGAATACACGTGTAATAAAATTATATATTTTTCTTTAGCAGAATATAAAAATAACAAAGGAAGAAAATATAAGAAAGCTTTATAGAATACAGCAAAGACGCATCGATTAATCAAATTGTATTGAAACAAAATAAAATAGTAATATCACTGGCTTCTAAAAACATCTAATATATGTATAATAGAAAATTTCATATAAAAACTTTTATATTGTATCAAATTTTCTGTATTTTAGAGCAATATTAATGTATATGAATTGTAGCATAAAAAAAATTGTTATCTTCCCTCATTTCTCTCGCGATTCAGGAATGATTCTTTTATAGCCGCCCTGTATACGTTCTAGCTTTCAACCTGACCACGCGTTAAGCCAAAGGCAAAATCGATATCATAACTCGTAGAGAGCAATCGTGGACCATATTGCGAATGGTTATTTCTCACATGTACAGAAATGCGTGTGCGCATATACGTCTTTATTTTTACTATTCTTACATTTGAGTTCTGTCCTACATTTAGCATACCGAACGCAAATCCTTACAAGACATTACAAAGTCTAATTCTTACCGATGCAAAGGCTATCGACAAAGTAAAGCAGTTCTTGTAATATCCGTAAAAATACTATTCACGCTGCATTCCAATTACAAATTGCTTCTTTTTTAGAATTACAAAGTATATCTTATAATTTTATTTAATTTCCTATTCCTACTTTTGTGAGGTGTAGGTATATAAAACGTACCGTGCACACTTTTATATTTAATAGCTCTTCTGTTTTTACGGATATAATTTTTTTTAGCAATTTTTGGAGCGAATAGTCCTTTTTAATGAATATGCTGCTAAAACCAGTTTCGAGACGAACTTCTGTTCACATTTGAATACATAAATATTGATCGAAATTTAATTTTAAAAGTAAAAATTTCTATTCTGATAATTAACATTTTAACATAATGAGTTAACTATTTGTCGTGATGCGATCTAAGTAATGAAGATTGTAATGTAATTGCGGATGCAACGAAGCTTTAAACACACACACACACACACACACACACACACCTTACTTAAAAATCACTTACAATTAAATCTCTTCTGTGTCTGAGTCACGCATTATTCGTGATGTCATCGGTATCTTAGATAATAATAGATATGTCCCACATAAACGTTGTAAATCAACGTCTATTGTTATCCTGATTTTTATAATCTCGATCTTACAATTTCTTTAAAATTTCTTTCAAAATCTTTAAAGCTGAGTACGAGCCAAGCTTTCTACGTAACATTTTCATTCTCTGTCAACAAATATTTCCGATATCGCAAATATTCGTTTTAAACAATACTACGCAGGATATGGAAGGTGTCGATTGATGCAATAAAACGTCTATGAAATTTTGATATAAAATTGAATCGTCGTGATTGGACATCTTCATATTCTGACTAAATTTATACCCTGTTGACAATTTAACGAACATCAATGTTCTATTTTATTTTTACTAGAGACAAAATTGATCGGTAAATTCACAAAAATCCTTGATTAATCTCGA